TCCCTCTTTGTTTTCTGATTGTAATAAATGGAACCACATTTCTTTCTTGGCCATTGTAACCAAAGGTTTTTCAATTTTGTTGATCCTTAAAAAAAAAAAAAAAACAAACTTGTGTTTTCATTGGTTTTTCTCTATTGTGTTTCTGCTGTCTGTTTCATTTATTGCCTCTCTTTGTTGTTTCTTTCCTTCTGCTTTGCTTGCTTTGTGTTTACTTGCTCTAAAGTTTCTTAAGGTAAAATCTTAAGTTATTGATTTGAGATCTTTTTCCCTGATTCTTTCGATTGTGGCAAATTACACATAGCATAAAATATACCATCTTAATGGTATTCAATACCTGCATAATGTTGTGAACTGTAGTCACCACCTGTCTCCAGAACTCCTTAAAACTGAAACTGTATACCCATTAAATAATTAAACAATAACTCCCCATTCCCTGCTTCCCAGCCCCCCTGACAACCACCATTCTACCTCTGTCTATGATTTTGACTATTCTTTTTTTCTTTCTTTTCTTTTCTTTTCTTTCTTTTTTATTATTATTGTTTGGATATATGGTCTCACTCTGTCACACAGGCCGGAATGCAGTGGCACAATCATGGCTCACTGCAGCAAGCAATCCTCCCACTTCAGCCTCTTGAACAGCTAAGACTACAAGTGTGTGCCATCATGCCTAGCTAATTTTTAAATTTTCTTGTAGAGACAGGGTCCTGTTATATTGCCCAGGCTGGTTTCTCACTCCTGGGCTGGAGCAATCCTTCCACCTTGACCTTCCAAAGTGTTGGAATTATAGGTATAAGCCTATACATATAGGTATATGCCTGGGCTTGATTTTGACTCTTAGTACCTCATCTAAGGGGCATCATACAATATTTGTCCTGTTGTGATAAGCTTATTTCACTTAGCATAATGGCTTGAAGATTCATCTCTGTTGTAGCATATGTCAGAATTTCCTTTTTATAAAGGCTGAATAGTATTCCATGTACCACATTTTACTTATCCATTTATGTGTCAATGGACACGTGGGTTGCTTCTGCCTTTTAGCTATTGTGATAGTGCTGCTATGAACACGGGTATACCACTATTTCCTTTAGACCCTGCCTGCTTTTAGTCCTTTGGGATATATGCGCAGAAGTGGAATTGCTGGAGCATATGGTAATTCTAATTTTAGTTATTAGAGGACCCATTATACTGTTTTACACAGCACCTGTACCATTTTACATTCCCACCAATGGTGCACAATTGTTTCCGTTTCTCCACATCTTTGTCAACACTTAGCATTTTCTGTTTGGTTTTTCTTTATAGTACCCATCCTGTTGGGTGTGAGGTGGTATTAAGCTCGTCTTCTTCTTTTTTTTTTTTTTTAACGTAGGTGCTTATAGGTATAAATTTTCTTCTAAGCACTGTTTTTATTGCACTCTTAAGTTTTCTTGTGTTATATTTTCCTTTCATTAATCTCAAAGTGTTTTCTAATTTCCCCTGTGATTTTTCTTTGACCCATTGGCTATTTAGGAGGATGTTGATTTTTACATATTTTAATTTTCTACATTTCTTTGTTCTTTCATATTTTATTCTGTCTTTGGATAACAAGCTTTCTGTGATTGTTGTCTTTTTAAATCTGTAGGGACTTGTTTCATGGCCTGACATTGTTTATCCTGTGTAATGTTTCTTATACACTTGTGAAGAATATATTATATTATTTTTAGTTGAAATAATTTATAGATGTTGATAATGTATTGTTAGTAGAGGAAAGTATATATCATTTTAGTGTGATGATTTAATATTTTGAGGCTATCCTTCTTTTGACTTATATAAAGAGCTCCCTATGTATGTTATCTTAATTCATTGTGAGGGACATCTGTGGCTAGAACATAGAGTGTTTTCAAATTTACTGATCTTTCATTCTTACCTGATTAATTCCATCCACTTTTTAATTTTACATATATTTTGTCTCTGGAATTTTATCTGGCCCCCCCCCCTTTTTTTTTTTTTCCTAAAGATGGGGGTCTCACCATGATGGCCAGGCTGGTCTTGAACTCCTGACCTCAGGTGATTTACCCACCTCGACCTCCCAAAGTGGTAGGATTACAGGCGTGAGCCACCGTACCCGGCTTATCTGGGCTCTTTTTAATATACCATTTCTTTCATAATTATGTGGATGATTTCTAGTATACTACATATAATAGCTTATGTAAAGTCTTTGACTGCTAATTCCATGTCTTTGTTATTTCTGCATTCTCAGTTGACTGAATTTTCTGCTAGTTATGTATGGTAGTTTTCTTCTTTATATCATGTCTTCGTATCATTTTATTGAATGCTTAGTATTTTGAATTTCACATTGTTGAGCATCAGGTGTTGTATTCCTGTTAAGGAGTGTTGGACTTTATTTTTTCAGAAGTTGTTACATTTGTCTGTGGCTTATTTTTAAGTTGTTAGGCTATATGTGGGTATAGTTGAGCTGCATTGGTAGGGTCTAAACTCTTCTGTATGTATATCCATGGAATGCTCTGGATTTTCAATAGATGCTTCACTTTGGTCTCATCTCTGACCACTGTGTGAGCTTTCGGATCTCTTTAGCATATCACCTTTGGTCACTTTTTGACCAGTTTCTTGGAGTTTTTCACCTGTGCCCGCATGGCTTTTTCAGAAAGTCTTCACTGATACTTGGGAAGTACCTCTAGGCAGAAAGTTGAGGCAAACTTCTGGCTTATCTAATTCATTTTCCTTCTTGGAGAGTCTCATTCAGTACTGCCTGTGGCCTCATGTCTCTAAACAGTTACCTTAATGTATATTTTAAGTCTATTTTTCCAATTTTCTAATTGTTTACAACAGGAGTGTAAGTCTGGTCTGTTTCTCCATCATGGTTGGAAGTGTTAAGTCATGGCCTACCATTTTATTTTCAAAGCTTTTATTTTCCCACCCAGAATTAGCCTGAAATGCCTCATCAATGATTGCTAAATAAGAGAGCCTGTTAATTTTGTCGGCCGGGCACGGTGGCTCACGCCTGTAATCCCAGCACTTTGGGAGGCCTAGGTGGGTGAATCACCTGAGGTCAGGAGTTCAAGAAGCCTGGCCATCATGGTGAAACCCCATCTTTATTTAAAAACAAAAAAAAAAAAAAAAGGAAGAAAAATTTAAAGGAACTAGTTTACAG